CTGGAAGGTTTGTGTCCCTCTTCCAGTAGAATTTTGTGCATACAGTAGGCGGGGCTGATCCCCATTATGTCTGCCGTGGTCCACCCAATGACAGTCTTGCACTCCTTAAGTACCTGCAAGAGTTGTTGCGCCTGCGCATCTAACAAACTAGATGAGATAATAACAGGTAATGTGGAGTTAGGTCCAAGGAATTCATACCTGAGATGGTTGGGCAATGGCTTTAACTCCAACTTTGGTGGTTCTTCGATAGATGGCTTGGCTGGAGGAGTCTCTCGATTTTCCAAGTGTAAGAGCTCAAATTCTAGAGTTCTATCCCAGAATCCTCTACCCTCTAATGCCAACACCCATTCCGCCAGTTCCTCTCCATTCACCTCATCCAAATTCATTAAACATGCGGCAAGGGGGTCCTCAATGGTTAGAACCTCATCATCAGTCTCCACGATTACATCCACAACATCAATACGAGAACAATTGGCGAATTCACTTGGTCGCCTCATAGATTTCTGCACATTGAATGTTATCACCTCATCGTTCAATCTCATCTTGAGCTCCCTGGTTTCACAATCAATGAGAGCTCTCCCTGTGGCCAAGAATGGTCTTCCCAAAATTATGGGAATCTCTTCATCCACTCTGCAGTCTAAGATCACAAAATCTGTAGGGAACACAAATTTCCCTACCTGAACTAGCACATCATCCAGTATACCAGAGGGTCGTTTCACTGTCCTGTCAGCCAACTGCAACAACATAGATGTGGGTCTAACTCTTCCAATGCCCAGCCTCTTATAAATCGCCAGGGGCATAAGATTGATGCTGGCCTCTAGATCACACAGTGCTTTAGCAAAAGAAAAAGTACCAATAGTGCATGGAATTGTAAAGCTCCCTGGGTCAGAGAGCTTTTCTGCAATTGGTCTAGTCACCACTGCACTACATGTCTGAGTAAGAGTAACTATGGCTAAGTCTTGGAAATCAAACTTTCGGGACATCAAGTCCTTCATCATTTTTGCATACCCAGGCATCTCCTTCAAAGCTTCAATCAATGGTATGTTTACCTGGATTTGTTTCAGCATTTCGAAGAACTTCTTGTATTGTTCCTCCTTTTGATACTTAGCTAGCCTCTGAGGGAAAGGTGCGAGAGGTCTCTTCTTCCCAATAAATTGGGATTGATCCTTATCAGCTACTACATCAACTACTAGTTCCTGGACTGTCTCAGCTTCTTTATCGGTCGCATTCTGGATGCTATTTTCTTCCTAGGCAGGCTGGACTGGCACCTCCGTCAGTTTCGTTGACTCATCCAGCTCAATGGGCACTGGTATAAGTGTCTCAGCTTGTCTAGTTTCTCGAGCCCTCTCTTGCTCTACATCCAGATCTCTTCCATTACGTAGACTTACTGCCATCAGCTGCTTTGGGCCTTGATCTTTTGGATTTATCTGGGTGTCTGCAGGTAGTGTCCCATGAGGACGATTGTTCAGAGACATAGAAATTTGGCCCACCTGCACTTCAATATTCTTGATTGCTGCATCATGTGCATCCACTCTCTCATTAATCTTTGCATTAGACCCAATAACCTGCTGCATCATTGCCTCAAGTCTAGTAAACCCATCTTTCTGTCTTCCACCATGCTGCTGCTGAGGAGGGTGATACCCCTGCTGCTGATTCTGATTATTATATCCCTATGGCCATGGGTAAGGTGCCATATTGTTAGGAGGTCTCATACCTCCTATGTTTCCATTGTTGAACTGTGGATGGACTGGCCTGTATTGCTGATTTTGCTGGCCCCAATTCTGACCACCCTGTCTCCGGCCTCCATAATTAGACACATAATTCATGTCTTCAGGATATTGGTGATGATCATGTTCTGCATTCCATTAGTTAACGATTGGATGACTAATGCAAGATGCGCACAATCCCCCATTGGTAGTATCTACGATGTGTGCCTGCTGCTTCTGCCCTGACTCTTCCACCTTTTTGGTGAGTATACTCATCTGTGTCAATAAGGTGGCCATATTTTCAGCCATAGATTTGGATGGATCTAAGGGCACTGAGTGAACCACTGGAGTGATAGGTGCATTCCTAGTTGTCCATCCCGAATTTTGTGTCATCTTGTCAAGCAGACTCTGGCCTTCTCTCCATGTTTTGCTCAAAAATGCTCCACCAGCTGAAGCATCAACAATGTTCTTCACGCTATCTGACAATCCCATGTAAAACCGCTGCCCCAACATCAGATCTGGAATACCATGGTGCGGGCATATAACCAGCATCCCTTTAAAGCGCTCTCATATTTCATGCAGTGTCTCCATTGGTCTCTGTTTAAAACTCAAAATTTCATCAATTTGTTGAGCAGTCTTATTGGGTGGGTGGAACTTGTTATGGAATTGCCTGAGTAACTCATCCCATGTTGTTATAGAATTTATGGGAAGTGAGTCTAGCCAAGTCTGGGCAGCTCCTGTCACTGAGAATGGAAACAATAACAGCTTGATTGCTTCAGGAGTTACGTTGGGCTGCCTTTGGGTTTTGCAGATAGAGAGGAAGTTCTTCAAGCGTTGCTGAGGATCTTCGACTTGCGACCCCGAAAATAGTCCCTTGTTCTGCAACAAGTGCATCATGTTATTCGTAATTTGGAATGACTCAGCCTGTATCTGCGGAACTACAATGGTTGTGGACATATTTTCAGCTATGGGTTGTGCCCAGTCATATAGAGCAGCCTCTAACACTATTGGTACCACTGAGTTTTCCTCGTGATCCCCCATGACTGTTTCGAATTGTGCAGTTGTTGGTTGTTGTTTGTTTTTTCGATTAGCCCGATTCAAGGCCATGAAAACTTTCTCGGGATCTGATAATGCTTCAAATACTTCACTAGATCTCGATGAGTTTCTAGGCATGCACCTGTGCAACCAAGTCAACAAACGTTAAAATTTCAATGTAAAAATTGGGTATAGAGAAAAAATGATTACAATAAGAATTTTTGTACTTCTTTCAATTGTAATTGATAACACCGTTAATTCCCCGGCAACGATGCCAAAATTTGATCACGCCCAACTATGCCTTATAAAAGAACAATGCGGACGTTGCAAATATAACCTGAGTATATATGCCCGGAGTCGAATCCACAGAGAATTAACATATTAGTTACTTTCGTTGGACTTACTAAATTCTTTAGAATCAACTTCCCCAAACGTTGTGAATAACAGTTGATGGTATATTTAATAACTAAGATTGAAAGTCAATAAACAGTTGTAAACTAAATAAGCTTAAGTTATGAACAATAATGAGAAGGTTCTAAAGTAGTGATTTCCCTTATTGATGGAATCCCTTCTGTTTATGTTTCCTATAGATTTACCAACACATCTCTATCAACCATGAACATTCTTTTTACCGTGAATCTCTCTTGAGTAATCATGATAATTTACTAGACGCACTCTCCCGAGATACGCTAGCTGGCTTTATTTATTACAGTTCACTTTAGATTGCACCCAAGACTTCGTTATCCCTAATCCCGCCTTTAAACGCGCAGTTATAGATCCCTCTTATACTTTGGGAGTGCTGTTGTTCAACAATTACCTAAATATGCACTCTCTCCCGAGTTATGCATACTAAATAGGCACAACTAATTGAGGATCCTGTCAATTAACTACAACAAATACGTAGTTGAACAAATAGAGATTAAACTGGCAAACTATATTAACATAATCAAGAAGTTCATCCTTCAATAGGTTCCATAAAAACCCTAAGACAAAGGATTTAGCTACTCATGACAATGAGTAAATAAACTATGAAAATATTCATGATCAAAATTGCAAGAAAAATAAAGAGAAGAAGAAAATATGATGTTTTTGGTGATCTCTCACACTTGTTTCTCTTGCCAAAGTACTTTCTAAGACATTACCTCCTCCCTTGGACGAGTTCTATTGTTTAATATAGGGTTTTGGGCTAAAAATTCCGTGTTTTGCACTTGAGTCCCTCAATTTTTCGCTTCCTATCGCGGTCCTACCGCGGTTACGCCAGGACCGCGGCCAACTAGCCTCTCAGAATCCGCAACAGCCTTCTGCCGCGGTTCGACTGCGGTTACGCCGGGACCGCGGCAGTCCATCTCCAGTTCTGGTTTTGCTGCCTTCGCATGGTGCACTTAGCGGATATTGTACGATTGGCCTCTTTTTCTCCGTAATTGATCCCAAAAGTACTCCATAGACTTCTTTTATTGTATATAGCCTGTAAAACATGAAAAACACTAATCAGAGCATTTTGTTATCACTTTTTACCACAAAAACTATACAAGAAGGTGATTTCTTTAGAGCCTAATTATAGTCCAATTCACCTATTATCAATGACTGAAAGCATAAGAAGAAATAAGGAGAATACCTAGGGAAGTCTTATGGAGGGAGGTTTTTCTTTCTTTGGAGTCAATGAAAGTAGTCAAACAAGTAGTTTTTTCTTATTCATAATGTATGTTGATTTTTCTTATTCCTAACATATATGGTAAAATAAAAAAATCCTAACATGTGTTAAATTGTCGATTGCTCATGGATGGACTGATGGATGGACGCCTTTCCGACAAATCGTCAAAATTTTAGTAAACATTAGTATATCATAACTTTAGTACAAATTATTTAAAAATCCTAACTGTTACACAAATTTCACCAATTTTTTTTTTTTCAAAATTGATCCAAATCAAATTTCAAATGACTCCACGTTTGATATCCAACCTTGTAATACCTAGCACAACAATTTTTACCGGTTAGTATCAATAGACTCACTTTGACTTCTTCAACAATTAAGCTAAACAATATCCAATAAGAATGTTCTTCAAGTTTCTTCAACCAAACCAATTCAAACCGACCACAAATAAGCAATGGATCTTCAATACATATGAAGAAAATGGGGAAGGAAGAGAGGAAGGAGGAGGAGGAGGTGGAGTTCAGGCGGATGATGTATAAAAAATTTTAAATTAGGATTATCTTACACTACTGCACACTAAAAAATCAGTATAACACGCTCCATAAAAATAATAATCATGCAACCAAATTGAAAATTACATAAAACATAGCAAGTAGTATCCCAAAGTATTATAAACAGAACACAAGCACTAGTGAATATATGCAAAGCAAATATAAGAAACCAGTGGCAATGCCACTTATATCTTGATCATAATATAAAGGACATTATTCAAGCTACCATGACTGAACAGTTCAAGATAAAACTACTAAGTCGATTTCGACCACTGTCAAGAGGTTTCCACTGCAACTCCATTGCCTCAGGATCAGGACAACAAGTATATATAGCCATAGAATTACCAGAATAAGACACTGACGACGACGCAGCTCCTATTACAAGAAGTTCATTTCCCAGTGACTTGAATGCAATGCCCCATCCCCTGTTTGAATCAGCTCGTACTGGAACCGGTCCTAATTGTTTCCAAGTGTTGGTTTTCTTCAAGTAAACCTTCAGCTGATTCGAAGAAGCCTCGAGCGAGTATAGCTCATTATTCACGACAGCAAGGAGGGGCGGTGAATGGTAGTCCTGTACCGGATCATCCTTCAACATGTCCGGAATCAGCTCCCATTTGTTCTTAGCCTCGTCGAAAAATTCTCCACACGTTAACTCACCGTTCTCATTCCTTCCCCCGATCACGTAGAATTTATTGTCCATGTAGCATCCTGAACAAAGCTTTCTCTTCCTCTTCATCCTCGGTAGCGGGTCCCACAATCTACTATCGGGGTTGTATCTCTCAGCTGTGTCATAGACCTCGTTATTCGGCATAATACCAACACCACCAGCAACAAAAGCAGTGGTACCACAAGTTGCTGATGCAAATAAACACCTAGGATTAACCATAGAGGGGCCTTTGTGCCAACTATTTGTTGCTAGTTCGAACCTCCAAATAACGAGACCATCGATTTCCCTGCCCGAAACAAGCAAATGTGCGCCTACACAAAGTGATTCCTTATCACTAAACGGGAAGCACTCATCTGATGGTAAATCAGGCAGCTTCCTCCGCGACTTGAACTCTCGATCAAACGCCCACCAGTTAGTCTCCCCACTTGCCAACATGAATACTGAAGGTTCTTTAAATCCAATCTCTTTACGAATCTCAAATATCTCACCGCTCTTTAGAAGCATCGAACATCTCTTGTTTACGAGGCATAGTTTCCAATACTCCCACCTAGGAAACCTGGCTAGAATCAAGCTCTCAACCTGATAGTTGAGAGAGGGATAATCTGCATCCTGAGGTTCTCTACTAGAATTTTCAGCTCTCGAGGATTCGGGTCGAGAGATTCTAACTTTTTTGGAGGAATGGCTCTTGAAAGTGACCCAATCACCATATCTGAGATTTGATTTCTCATCAAGATCATAGTTAGCATGATGATGATCCAAGTTCATCTTTTCTTCATCAGATTCTGTTCTGTTTAAGTCCAACATCCTCTTAAGACATTCAGAGCTTTAAATCATCAGCAGTTAGCCTTAAAAAGGAACAAACAATCATTAATTGATCGGCAACAAAATTAAAATTGATCGGCAACATGGATCATTGATTGATAAGAAGATAAACATTTCCTTTAAAAAGTTTAAAATAGCAAAACCATGTGAATCAAGATATAGCCTCAAGAATTGAACTACAAAGATGAGCTTAGGACGCCCGGAAAAAGATATGAGGTGCTCGGAAATGGTCGAAGTAGTTGAATAGGAGGGAGCAAGAATTTCCAGGATCATTTGGAACAGTCCGTTTCGAAGCAGAAGAGCCGTTTTCAAGTAGTGTTCGATCGATTACGTATTAATCAATATTTGATTGATTGGTCTGACAGTATCTCTTCTATTTCATTCTTTTTGAGAAAAACATCTACTATAATGTTTGCCCAAAAAATGGAGGAATAGACCATTTCAGTATTGTGTTTGAAACAAACAGGTAATTAACATATTAGTGCATATACCAGCCCTTGTTTTCCACACCCTTTAATACCTTTTGGAGGATGTGATGGCTAAGAGTAATATGACACAACTTTTCTCTTTAAGGTAATTGTAGTAATTAATCACACAGAAACTGAATAACGAGCAAAAACACCTCATATGACCAAAATCAAAGTATTTAAGTTATATATACTGACAGTATACCGGTTTTTACACTATCAGTGTAATTTAAGTTATGGTGGCAGATTAATTAGTTTCAATTTGTACTAGGTTACCAATCAGTGTTTATCGTATAGATTTACTTGTAATTAGCTTACCTAATTGTGAGTATATAGAACTTAAACTCAAAATCAAGACAAACAGAAGTAGTTTCCACTTGCAAACTCGGTATGAAGAGCTATTAGATTTCAATAATTCATTATTGAATTTCAATAAACTCAAAGAATGCTACAAAATGAAAATAATCAAGTTGAAATCCGTATTTTTTTCTTAAGAAGAAATAGATTGGAAACTTAAGGAAAATGAATTTAACCCGAGTTTATGACTTTTTCCTCAGAAAACAGAAAGAAAAGAAAAACTACAAATCACATTATATTTACTCCAAAATACATTAAAAAAGTCTAAAACTAACTAAGAGAAAATCATGAATATATTTACCTTAATTAATTGGATTTTTTAAAATCCAACTAGTTTTTCTTCCTTTATTTCACATCATTTTCCTTCTTTGTGCTCCAGTTTTTCTTTCTCCCTCTTCTTGCTCTGTTGTTTATTTTATTTTTCTTCCTCTTTAAAGGGTTGGAGACAAGGTGATGGCAAGTTGAGAACTTCTCCACTTACCATACTATTTTATATGCTAATGGAGAGTTTATTATATTAAACCATCGTACTGAACTCTTATGGCAGTTCTATTATAAAATTACGAATTAACAATTCAAAGATAAAAAGTTAGCAATTGGCTAGAATCCACGAATCAGCTAATGACATGAAACATTTACCAAAGCTGTAGTGGTTATTATTGCATCACGATCTACTATCAATGCGAAAGAAAGAAAAAATGCAATTGAGGAGGTAGAAGTTAGATATTGGTTCAGTCGAACCCATTAATTTTTGTTCAATATATATATATATATATAAATTTAAAATTAATTTATTAATACTTGAAGCCATAATTCTAAAATTCAAAACTCGTAAAGTTGTAATTTTGGCTCTGCCCCTCTAGTAAATAAGCATGTGTATGTTCTTAGTGCACAAAAAATATTTAATTCCCTTTATAATAATTATTAGTCGGAAGATTATCTTAAACATACAATATAAGGAAGAATTAGTGGTATTAAAGATTGAGAGTGTGTTTGGTACCAACTTTTCTTTGTTTGATTGAATTAAATATTTTAAAAATTATTTTCCTCGTTAACCCTACCTACGAAAAGGAAAAAGAATTTCGAAATTCTTTCCTCAACTTATTCTTCACCCTGCACCCCCACCCATCGTCACGACCATTCCGGCCCTTAGACCCCCCTCCACCCACCCTTACCATTTCTTCTCATATAGTTGTCTAAATTACAGTGCCGGCTCGATGGGGAGGCCACGGCCCCCAAATTTGAAGGCTCCAAAATTGTTTATTTTTAATATTATTTATATATTATAAAGTTATTAATAAAGAGATTAGATTATACTTTATTTTTTGAAATGTGATAGAGGTTATTCAGATAAATAACTGAATTTTAAAAAAAAAACATGTAATATTTGAAAATGAATAACTTGATGACGACTTTGCAACTAAGAAAATATAGTATCTTTTGAAGAAGATTATTTCTTATATAAAGTAGATAAACATATTTTTTCACTTCAAAATAGACTTGAATTATTCAAAATGAATGAACTTTTTTGATATCTACTTATGGTACAAAATTGAGATTATAACATTATAAGATTTATATCGACGCTATCTTAAACGTTAATATATATATTTCTTATAAATATAATATAAGAGCCTTAGTGAGGTTGAGTTACCGAGTATCTCCAGTGGTGGGGCCTAGCAAGTAACTGAGTGAAGATCAAGATACATACGAAAGGATTCGAACTCGATCGAAAATAAAACAAGAAAATTAAATAATTTAAGATTAAAGCTTCTTATTAAGGTTTGGCTTTAGGCCACAACTTTAGTTGAGCGATTCTTTTTTTAAAAAA